TTTTTTCAAATTATTAATTTTTGTTTAATAAAATACAATTTTCTCCAAAAACAAGAACCATACATAAATTTTGTTTTTAATTTAATGGTACCAAGGTTAAAATTGTTTTGCATTTAAAACAACACCATCTGTTTTCGACAGACGGAACTAAACGAAATGAGCAAGCAAAGAGAATGTAATCACTACGTTTATTGTGAGCAAGCTCCATACAAATATCAAATGTATGGACTGAAAAGACCGTGCTAGTTCAGTAATTCAGTCAGTTGTAGTTGTATAGGATGTTACAATTTTTGTTTCTTTTTTTACTTAATTAGTTTGTTCGAAAAATATTTTTTTTAATTATGTTTTGTTTAACGTTAATATTTTTTTATGATTATTGGCAAGTAGCGTTAGACGTGTGTTAATTTATTGTCGCGGTTGTAACGACACGCTGTATATTGCTTCGTACTCTACACTATACATATCTAAGTATAGTATGGAAACATACTATAATTTCGTTAATATACATAAATTACCAATATAAATGCCAATCAAACAATAAAAAAGTTTTATTGGGTTGTAATAACGTCGTAATGTTTATAAACAATACAATGTGGATATTACCACGTTTCATTGTCAATTATTATTACCATGGATTAAATAAACTTTATCAATGAACTATTTACGACTCCCTTGTAAAAAAATTATTTCATTCTCTAATTAGCTTGTTGAAGTATAGGTAGCATATTGCACTGTGAGTATTATTTCCTATTTCCTAAATAAAATTAGGAAATAAACATAATCCATAGACGCCATTTTATTGTCTTGTGAGGCTATCAAATATGGTAACAAAAGTGGAGTTGATTTTGTTCCTTCTGAGGAGACGTTAAAAGACATTTAATTCTAAGGATGAAAATAATATTGAAGAATTGATAAACTTTGAAGTGGAGTAAATTAATGCCTGTTAAAAGCAAAATTATAAAGTGTCATCATCATCATCATCATTTCAGCCTGTTTGAGTCCACTGCTGAACATAGGCCTCCCCCACAGACTGCCACGAAGTACGATCCTGAGCCACCTGCATCCATCGACATCCCGCACATTTGCACAGGTCGTCACTCCATCTAGTGGGGGGTCGTCCTACACTGCGATGGCATCCGCAGTAGAACCAAGGTAACCGACATAGCTCAGTTGAAACCTAGCAGACGCGATCCAAAAATCGCAAATTATAATATAGTCCGCCACGACCGGTTAGCAAACCGTCTGGGAGGTACCTTAATATATTATAAACGGTCCTTGCACTGTAGCCCGCTCGATATCCCAGAGCTAAAACATATAGAGGCATCCGCGTGTAGGTTAGCGCTCACCGGCCACAGGCCGCTTGTACTAGTTTCAGCCTACCTCTCGGGGAATAAAACTCTTCTACAAAGCGATTTAGAAACGCTACTTAACTTAGGCCCTTCCGTGATAATTGCAGGAGATCTAAACTGCAAACACGGCTCATGGGACCCCAAACTTGCGCTAACAACAAACGGTAGGCAGCTCTTTAACTTATCTGACGATTTAAATTATAGCGTAATCGCTCCTGTGACTCCCACAAGATATCCTACGGTGGACGATTACCAGCATTCGACACCGAGTATTCTTGATATCATGTTGTTCAAGGAGGTCTCCCTCGACATTACGTCGATAGAGACAATCCAAGAATTAGAATCAGACCACAGGCCGGTCCTGTGCAAACTGGGCCAGAACGCCGGCGCGGTCCCTCCGACCAAAACCGTAGTGGACTGGCATCGCCTTGAGGTCAAACTCAAGGCCTTGGACCCCCAGGACTTAGTAGACTTACCCGAGACGATAGCTACGTTCGATGACGCAAATCGAGCGATAGCAAGTCTCCGAGAAACCATTACTTCCGCAGTCACAGACTCGGAACGGACGGTGAAACTGTCGGGCGACCGACGGTTTAACTTTCCGCCCGACCTAAGACTGCTAATTAGACAGAAAAATGCAGCCAAACGCGCCTTCGACCGATACCGATCGGAATCGAACCGAACCCTACTTCGACGCCTTCAGCTAGAAGTCAAAGATCGTGTATCGGAACACCGACATACAACGTGGGACAATCTCCTAGAGGACATCGAGCCATCGCACACCGCCTACTGGCGGTTGGCCCGCAGTCTGAAAGCAGAGCCCCGCGAACCCCTACCGCCGTTAGCAATGCCTAATAGCACTTCATTAGCCCTAGATGACTCCGAAAAAGCCGAATGCCTTGCGGACAACCTAGAGCAGCAATGTACGCCATCGCGCGAACACATCGACACAGCCCACCTAACGGAGGTGGACCGCGTTATCGAAACTAGGGCTGCGCTTCCACCGGAAGGCGATCCATTAAACTCAGTGACCCCCGAAGAGGTCCAAGATATTATCAAAAATTTAAAACCCAAATCCGCCCCGGGCCCAGACAATATTAGTAATAAAATCCTTAAAGCTCTCCCTGGCCCACTTATCTGTTTACTGGCGACCATTTACAACACTTTACTCTCCAGTTGTTCCTTTCCGGACGACTGGAAAGAAGCCACGGTTATCGGCATTCGCAAGCCGAATAAACCAGCCAATCAGCCCTCTAGTTATCGTCCCATCAGCCTCCTTAGTTGCCTGGGGAAGCTTTACGAGCGGCTTCTATTAAACAGGCTCAAAGACCACGTGTTTTCCAACGGCCTTCTACCGGCGGAACAATTCGGCTTTCGAGCAAGACATTCCTGTCCCGATCAATTGTACCGCCTAACGGAACATATCCTAAAAGGCCTAAATCACCCTAAACATATTAGCACGGGGGCTCTTTTCTTCGATGTCGCAAAGGCATTCGACAAAGTCTGGCACAACGGCTTGCTTTACAAGCTGTTCTCACTCAAAGTGCCAGACAGGCTTGTACACACCATTCAGGCCTTCTTGTCGAACCGTTCCTTTCGATATCGAGTTGCAGGCGCCCCTATCCACTAGCCGCCGCCTCACGGCTGGCGTTCCACAAGGCTCCTGCCTCTCACCCTTACTTTTTACGCTCTACACGAGTGATATACCAAAAGACCCCCACGTCAATCTCGCGCTTTTCGCGGATGACACGGCGCTCTTTTATTCAGACCGCAACCTTAGTCAACTAACCACTCGACTCCAAAGCACCGCCAACCGCCTCGGCGATTGGTTCCGCAAATGGAGAATTGAAGTAAATCCCGAAAAGAGTGTGGCGATTCACTTCACACGAAGTACTTACCCGTCACATCTTTATAAAGGTCGTCGCCAATGCAGAAAGCTAGGGCAAATATCTCTTTATGGCCAACCGCTCCCCTGGGAGAAAAAGGTAAAATATTTAGGAGTCACTTTCGACTCGCGTATGTCATTCACAGCGCATATTAATAACGTCCGTAACAGAGCCGCGTTCGTCTCCGGCCGGCTAAGCACTTTAACTAACCAGTCAAGTAAAATGTCCTTAAGACACAAATTACTTTTATACAAAGCTTGCGTACGGCCAATCATGTCCTACGCATGCATGATTTTCGCCCACACGCACCCTACTCGCTTGCACAAGTTGCAAGTAGTGCAAAATAAGTTCATCCGCCGCGCAACCGGTGCGCAGTGGTATCAACGCAACGTCGACCTGCACAGTGATTGCAGACTCCCGATGATTCGCGAATTTTTCAAAGACCTGACCAAACGGTTCTTCGATAGAGCCGAACATCATCCCAACCCTCTGGTGGTAAGCGCAGCAAATTACCAACCCGATCTAAACGCGAGCGTCAACAAGCGTCGCCCGCGAAACGTCCTCATCGACCTGGTCGAGGAAGGGGACTTAGGTACGTCGGACCCACCGTCGGGGGTCCCGCCGGATAACACTACACACACAGTTAGTGTAGCAACAAAAACATTAGTTCGCCCTCGCCTCCGAGCACGGCGAGACCAACACAACGCGTACACAAGGTACAGCCCGCGTTCCAGGGCGGTTCTCACCGCCCCCAGCCACCGATTAGCTAAAAACACAGTCGACGGCCATCGGGGTCTCGGTCCGCACCGCTACTTCGATGGCCCTTAGATGACATGCCGTAGTTAAACGCACGCATGAGCACATGCGCGGCCCTACCCACAGCGGAGGGCCCAAACCCGTGGGTTCTGGCTAGCCCACCGGTTCTGCGTCAGATGAAGCTTTAATAGTCTCTGGACTGAAAGCATAAACATCAGTTAATACAAGATACACAAGATACAAGACATAGCTCAGAGGATTAGCAAGCTGAAGTGGCGATGGGCCGGCCATATAGCTCGTAGAACCGATAACCGTTGGGGAAGAAAGGTTCTCGAGTGGCAGCCTCGTACTGGCCATCGCAGTGTAGGACGACCCCCCCACTATAAAGTGTACTATAACTTTTTTACAAATACTATCCTTTTCAATTTTTTATACTATCTTTTTCATCATACCTAAATCCATTCCAACCCTGATCGCAAGGTTGTCAGTTCCCTGCAAGTTCTCTGCGTATAGTTGATAGGCTTGATACCTACATACCACTTTTAAATGTACTCTTTGATACATACTGAAGTCTGAAATTTCTCTGTCTCAGTCTGTGGTCATCAGTGTCTTGACCATTTGTGGCAGATTTCTGCCATTTCGGCAGATTTGGCCCTGAATTTTAGATGTGGCAGATTAGGCTGACGATTCAAAAAAGTGGCAAAATTTGGCAAATTGATGAGTTTGGCAGATTTTTTGCTAGTGTCGCCCGACACAGATTCACCATTTTTGAGATGGTCACCCTGGTGGTCATGTTATGTCAAACTGTCATGTCAAGTCAATGAATGAATCGTCGAATAAAAACTTATTAGTTAATAGCTCATTTGTATCAAAATATCGTATTACATTTATTCGTAATCGGAAATCTAAAGATAAAATAAATCATCGTTTAAATGAACCTTGATTACCTCTGCTATAAATATAAAGTCAGAGTAAATTCGTATTTTTATTGTTCGTGTTTTGTTTTGAAATGGATGAAGTATTAAATAAATTTCAAACAGCTTTGAATTGTGAAGATTCACATAAAAGCTTATATAAAAACTGGGGAAAGGGGTGCACCCAAGAAGAAAGACGGAAAGAGATATTGACAAATCAAAAAGGGTAAAATTTCATTCATTTTGCTTACTCAATGTATTTTGCCCAAATTAAAATGTGTTAATCGTTAATTATGTTATTAGTATTTAATAAAAACCCATTGAAATAATACTTCATTACTCACTAATACTAATACTTATCTCCATTTTATATCACACAGGCAAAGAAATAAAAACTTAGACAATTTTCGGGGTATTTTTCTTGAATATATAAATGGAGTGGAAAAATGTAATATCTTTGATACTGAAGCAGTAAGTGATTCAATATGATTTATGTAATGTTAATGTTATTCTAGTATTTTTAACCATGTTCTAACATATTTTTTCCAGGTTTCATACAGACCAAACATATATGTAGCAGGTTTTAACAAAACTTCTCGTAGTTACAATAATGTTCTTATGTTATCAGAATGGTTAATAGATAGACCAATAGATTTTGAGCAAAATTGGTATGTGGTACCCTGTCCAAAAGGCGTCAGAACTCTAGTGGTTTCTCATAATGTAAGTGGAGTTTAAATTAATAAGAAATTCAAAATAGCATGTTAATTTGCATGAGTAAATGATAGTTAAAAACATTTCAGTAAATGGAAATTCATTTTATCTAGTGTTATATTGACATTGTATGGTATTCCATAGTTATTGACATTAAATTATTTTGTGATTAATAATAGTACTAAAATATGTTACAAAGTAATGTTGCTAGTATATGTGTATAAATATCATCATTGTTGCTAGAAATACATAATATCATATATCATATTTATTACAAATTAATTTTTTGTTAAGTTTACGTTATCTATATTATTATCATCACATAGGACACTTGTTACCTGTTAAATTTGAGATTGTTATTAATTGCAATGTTCTTAATTAAAAGGAACAGTAAATGATGTTTCATACTATTTTGCCTAATGAGGCAAGATCAATTCATTCTAAATATCTTACTCCTCAAGCCGGAGCCTGGATAACAGTGCCACCTAATCAGTTACGCATTTAAAATTTTATTAGAAAACTGCTTTTTTATGATTTCAGTTATTAAATTAGTTCATTATAAAAGATTTATAAGAGAAACCTATTAAACTTTTGACATCCCAATGCAGGAAAAAGCGGGATTTACTAATGAAAAAACAGGGCTATCTAATGGATCATATGATTCATCATAACCATTTCAGCCTCTTTGAGTCCAGTGCTGAGCATAGACATCACTAACTGCCATGAAGTACAAGCCATCTGCATCCATTGACTTAATGGCCATTGGGGAATACAGGTTCTTGAGTGGCAGCCTTGTACTGGCCATTGCAGTGTAAGACTATCCCTTATTAGATATATATATTATATTATATGCATTTGTAAAGTATTGCATTTCAGAAAACAACTAAATTCTTCACAAAAAATGGCCGATTTATGATGGAATGCAAAACAGGATTACCTGGAGGCAATCAATATAATACCAATAAACGAAAAGGGAGCTTTTGTGTATTAGATGGCTTTTATTTGGAAAAGAATAATACTTTATATATTTTGGATCTATTGGCATGGAACTGGCAACCCATGACTGATGGTGAGGTAAGACTGTTGGGACATTGCTTGTGCTGGATTATTTAGTATAACAATATGTATTAGCTAATTGATCTTAATACTCGTCAATAATTTTTTCAGACTGAATTCAGACAGTTTTGGCTAAAAGCGAATATGCAAGAACTTACAGATGTAAGTGAAATCAGCAAAACAAACAAAGTGGTTTTCAAAATCTTGCCAATGGTTGATTGTTCGCGCGCATCATTTAACAAGTTAGTGATTACAATTCTACTATGTTTTTGTGTAAGATTTTTATTATTTTAAAAAAATGAATTTTCTTTATATCATAAGAGAAGATTTAAATACTGTCTAAAAATGAAAAATTAGTCTTTCTGTTCTAAATTTTAATTATGATAAGCAATATTTTCATTTTACCAATCAGTTCTGTACACAAAATCTTTAGACTAACTTATTAAGTTGCACATGAAATAATTTTATGAACATACATGCAATTATAATTAATTAACGTTTTTCAATTTCAAGTTTTATGATGAAGTATCCACATTTTGAAAATAACTTTCCAATTTTGGATGGTCTACTTTTCTATCACAAACATGCACATTATGTTGCCGGAGAAACACCACTAGTTGGATGGCTTTATCCCTTTATGGTACAAGAGGTTTTGGGATATGGTATGTATTTTAGGAATATACTTAAATTTCTATAAAGTTAACTAAAAAAAAATCTGTTAGTTTTCGAAATAATACAAACATTTTTTGAAAATGTATGAAGTCTGCCCCTGTAAGTTATTATTATTAGGTAAGCAAGTGTTTTATGCAACCAGTTAACACATGTTGTTTTAATGCGTTTATCTATTAAAACTACAACAGCAGAACAAATTATGTAGCACATTGTATTCTGTTGGATTGATCTTCTTTGTTTCTATCAGGTGAGAAGCTATATGCTAGTTGTTTTTACTGTAGGTAATAGAATCTGGAGCTGAGATGGGTTATCGGAGGTCAACTCTCTCTTTGGCTGACAATAGGCCTGCAACATCTCTTATTATGAGTGTCCTTTCAAGCAATTCTCACCTACCATCAGCTTGTTCAATAGCAAACTTTAATTCTGTAAAGCCGAAGCTCTATATTTTTTTACAATAATTTTGTTTTTTGTAACATATGCCAATTTTATATGTGGAATACAGTGGTGTGTGTTTTCAAGAAGACCAATTCATCACAGACAAATATGATATCAATTATGTTATGTATAAAAAAATCGTTACTATTGTTCTTATTTATGATTATAAATATAATTAATTTTAAATTATTTCAACCTACAAAACTTCTTTGAGTGAATGTTAATGGTGTTGTTTAATTTTTAGATATACCTGTGCATTCTATGTATGAAGATGAAAGGCCAAATGACTATATAACTCAGTCGTACTTTATTGAAAAATTTGTTGCAAATAATTTCAAGAAAAACATGATCAGTTCAAGTACAAACATGGAAGAAGAAGAAGAAGAGAGCATTGGCTTAGAGGTGATTTTTTTATTATTTAATGTCTTATATTTCAAAAGGGAAGTTGTAACATTTACGGTTTCTTCGGCAGTATTTACTGACACTATTTATAATGCAAAGTATTTTTACGATTTTTGTAACATGCTGTTTGAATTATCGAAAATTATAATAAGCATTGATTTTTTATTCAGTATTTTAGGTATTTATTTTATCAAAAAAAAAAAAACATGTTTAAATCACATTATTTTGGGACTTTTCAGGATACGTGGCAATCATTAGAATCACTGTATTGGAAAGATCCATCCACAAACTGAAAAATACCCAGCTAGTCATTCATTTTTCAATAAAAATTGTAGTTACGTATTTTAACCAAATTGTACTTATAGATTAATTAAGCTGTGTAGTGTGTAGTCTATTGTGACTAATAGTCCAAATTGCCAGAGCAATTAGAAAAAACTTATTTTGAGATATGGGAAACCTTACGTTTTGAGTAAACGCGCGTGTCTAAGTGCACAAAACACTACTTAGAACGTAAGGTTTCATATATTTAAAAATAATTTCTGTCTAATCTCTCTGGAATTTTACTCTAAAAGAATGTATAACATTTAAAACATGAAACTCCTATCATAGTGCTAAACGTTATGTAATTTATTTGGTTAATTATTTAAAAACACACCCGAAACAATAATTTTGATACTTATAAAGATATGCGCCGACAGTTATTAGATTTGGTGAAAAAATTAAAATTAATTCTTGCAAAATATTAATTTCTTTCAATAATTTTAAAAGGGAAACGTGAGTTTCCACTTTGTGGGAGAATACAGTGTGATACTTAGAAACAATTATTTACTTCACTGATAAGGTGTATATTTTTACATAATAAAGAGCCCCGCGAAGCGGGGCGTAGTCCCTGTTACAGGACACTAAAAAAATGTATTTATAAATTAAGATAAATTAACTTCAACATTTATTTATTATTAACTGATAGGTTGTTGTTCGTTAGGTGTACATTTTTACGTTTTAAAGAGCACCGCGAAGCGGGGCGATGTAACTAATTATCACCATCGTCATCATTTCAGCCTGTTTGAGTCCACTGCTGATAGGTCTCCCCTCCCGGACCACCACGAAGCACGATCCTGAGCCGCCTGATAACAAGATAACAGTATTTTTTTTTTTTTTTCAAAATCTAAATGCCGGCGCTTATTTTTACTTCAAAACTATTGTTTCGGTTATTTCTCTATTGATTAAAAATATTTATAGAAAAACGCGCTTGCCCCTGTTGTAAACAATTGCCTTTGTTCGAAATAATTAAGACTTCCCCATTGTAATATTTAAATAATTCAATTAAATATTTTCGGTAGTAATTCTTTTTTGTAGAAATAAAGTTAGCCCATTGACTAGTGACTTTAATGCTTTAAGGGTAAGGTAACTTATGTAAAAGTTTACGACATTTAATGCGAATGTTTTGTTTATCTGCAGCATTTTTATTGTTGACATTTTAATCGTGTAAGTCCGTATTAGTTTACTGATGTAAACTGTTAACTGTTTAAAATGTAAACTCGAGTTGACTTATTATTTATTATTTACAGAATTGTATTTCGTAAAGAGTTCTTTTGATTCTGTGTTGTTTTTTCTGTTAATCCTGCGGAGTTTTTTTGCCATGTGTGCCTGTGCGTAAAACTGCCTAGATGCTATAGCTTTTTATTATTTCGTCCCTAAACTTGTTAGAAATAATTATGATCTATATCATAAACCATAATTTTAATAGACATATACTGTATTTGACATAGTTTCTGTGCAGGTGTGAGGAAATACTGTACTTTTAATATAGGCATATTTGCAGTTTGGTAAATTTAATAAATAATTGCTATCAATTGTGTAACTTTGGTAATACTTAATATACTGATTTAAAATATTGTGTGTCATACTTATTCAAAATGTTCATTTATTTGTATTTACTCCTAATAAAAATACAAGTGATTATATTAGTTGCATTACATTGACTTTTTGTCTAAAACAACTCCCTTACAACATTTAGCACTAGAAAAGCATTGCATTTCAAAACAAACTTAATTACACATAATACCAACCGGTAGTTACCGGCATACCATTTTCAGTATCTTACATTTGCGATTAGATTCGTATCAATAATTTTAGCTTAACATTCTGAATGGTTCAATTAGGTATTTTCTTTAGTTACTGAATACTGGCCTAGAAGTATGGTCGATTTTGGATTCTCAAACATAAAAAGCGTGCAAGAATGAGTTTTGAGGATTATTTTTAAATGCAAAAATCTACTAAGTATGTGAACTAACAGCAGGTAACCAGTCTTTGAGGTCGATGTAAACTAATTGGAGATAGGTATTTTATAAATTAATTTAACGTAAACGATAAATGGTCTCATATCGCTTACTTGTCGTTCTTATTAATTGCACTTATTCAAATGTTTATGACGATGATTAATTAATTCGTGACTTACCTACATCTTTGTTGATAGCAAATAACTATTTAATTTTAGGCAATGTAAGTACATACCCACTTGCTCTGTAAAAAGATGTTTATTTATTTTTCCTTCATTGCAATGGGCAACCCTTTAAATGGGTATTACAAAGATAAAAGTGGACTTAATGCTAATTGGACCTCTACCATTCAATGGGGGCCGTGAATAAAAGTTATATATTGATAGTAATATCCGGGGAATAGAGGGTGAATTAAGAAAAATAAATAAAACAAAAAATATAAGATGAAGTATATAAATATTTGCCTTGCTACACGCATTGTCAGCATATTTGAACAGCTCGAATTTGTGGAGGTTGGACGGAAGTTATATAATATTGGAACTTGGATTGTGGGTCTGTTACAAAAACGGAAAAACAATGAAAGCTGAAGAAATCGTCGGGAGTAACTATGATAATTGTAGGTAAATATGACATATAAAAAAATAGATGATTATTTAATTCTTAGTGTGATTGTGTTTACGTACAGAGCTCATTGCATTCCGCGTAATCGCTATACTAGAATCTGGGCATATAAAGGTGAAACAAACCATCATACTTTGTTCTTTTATCAAAGTTTTGGTATATTCAATAAAAAAATCTTAGTTCTGTACATGACAATAACAAAATTTGAATGTAAAGAGAAATATTTAATACATACTTGAATAGGTATTTAAATTTTTCAAAGTTATATGATTATCTTGTATAAACTAACTCAATCTTCTCAATTATCTAATCTTAAAATGTTAAGAATTTTTTAAATTTTCTTCTTTGTTTTCATCTATGGCACTTGTTATTTATCGCAGGTTACTCTGATATATACGATAATTATCCAGCATTGATCAAGGTCGTAACCTACTTGACTTATTGTTTGTGTCAATAAGTATAATAACTTTATTAAATAAATTAATTAAACTTGATATATCTGTTATTTATTTCAGGCAAGCAACGGTTCGAATGTTATAAAGGTAGTTTTTACATTAATGGAGATTTTACGAGAATCACGCTTACATTCACATTTATAGATCGGGTAACATCGTTTCATTAACGGCGGCAAATAGATATTGAGATTTTACTATCTTCATAATCCGAGAAATTGCTTTATTTTGATTGAACGTTATTAAATTAGGGCAACTTCAGATAGTAAGTTGCGTTGTTAAGCGTGGCCACGAAGTTACCTTCACTGTTGCACGAATGGGCAGGTTTGTCCGGGGAACTACTTCGGCCTCACAAAAGACCAGCGTAAAGTTAAAGTATCGTCTGGAACCCTACGAGTATTGCAGGTGTACCGTGTATGGCGGTGATCATCATTAACATCCGGCGGACAGATGTTGCAACTTTTCTCATAAAAAGGTCAATTAAGGTCAAGGGATTCGAAATATCAATGTTTAACCGAGTGTTCTGAGGCTTTCAATATAAAGTTTGCAATTATTTAAAATAAATTAAAAAACGTGTTAATAATATAACACTTTTATATCGTTATTTATTAATTTAATCGACTAACCATTCTTTAACTTATTTCTACAATCCTTGTACTTTCTTTTTATTATAAGTAATGAAATGTTTTAAGAATTAAAAATCGGTATTTTCAGTAATGCACCCGTACTATATTGTTCTCTCTTATCTATTTCGTGGTATCAACCATGTTTTAATGTTCTGCGGCCAATTACATAGACCTTCAAACAATGTAGAACGGTACACAAAATACGAAAACCTCGTTGACCGTTTAATTAGTTCTTATTTTTGGGAACAGAAAAAAGTCACAAGGTGCCAGGTCGGGACTGCATATGTTCTACGTTTTTCACCTTCAAAAATCCGTTTGTCTGTCTGGCCGACCCACACGACTAGCATTGTCGTGGTACAAGATGATACGGCGTTAACGTAAATTAGAACCACTTTTTAAAAGTTGGCAACGCATACGCATATGAACGTTGCTTATGTTAACGGACGGCGGTTATCACTTAACATAAGGTGAACCGCCACCTTTTCAGACATAAAAAAACCGGCAAAGTGCGAGTCGGACTAGCGCACGAAGGTTTCCGTACCATTACCTATAAAAACGGCAAAAAAATTCCGTCTTTTGTCTGGGAGCCCCACTTAAATATTTTTTATTTTGTTTTTTAGTATTTGTTGTTATAGCGGTAACAGAAATACATCATCTGTGAAAATTTCAACTGTCAAACGTTCACGTATCATTAGATACAGCCTGGTGACAGACGGACAGACAGACAGACAGACAGCGAAGTCTTAGTAACAGGTTCCTGTTTTACCCTTTGGATACGAAACCCTAAAAAAAGAGAAAAGTTAGATTTATGTAATATATTTTTTTTTAAATTTTTAATGCTAGTTTACACTCACAGTTAATACTTCTTTAATTTAAATGTGAGGTTAATGGATAAATTATTGAAATTTTTTTTTGCGCGCAATGTGAAAGAGCACACGACATCGTCGCGATGTCTCGATGTCCTCCTCTATACGGGAAATTACAATGTACACGGCGATGCAACCTATAGACCCCTGTGGTGGGGCGCAGGTAATTGAATTCATAAAAAGAAAAGAAAAAACATAATTGGATAAGTTTGTATGGGGTTAGCATCGCTTATTTTAACTTTCCTTTTTGTTTTAAGGGGTGAATTTTTCCATAATTTGCCTTCTAATTATATATGTGTATTATTCTAAATATATAATTAAAACTTCTCTATTCAAATAGTGCACCTGGAAGTTTATTCATTTAGGTGTAAATAATAATAAGATGTTTCGGTCCAATTTTACTTATGATTATTTATGAATATATAACAATTTTCTGTTCGTGCCCG